TACTTCTCTATTAGCTGAGTATTTATAAGAGTATAGTGAAGAAAACTGCTGTCTATTATTGCATATATATTGACTAGACTATTTATAATGACAGAGATTATAATTATATTCACTTATATCTTCTATTCAAATCTTTAGCTAGCTTATTATTTTTTAAATTTTCATTTATATTTTAGAGTAAGAGCTCTTTTTTTCTCTATTCTTGTCTATTCACAGATGATACAGTATTTATATATACAGAGAATTAACTCAGAAGAACTGTATTTAAATACTGATTCATAAAATACTCTGATTTATTACAGTATATACAGACTTTTCTAATAATTCAGTCAGCAGTATTTTTATCTGAGATATTGAAGACTTTTAAATATTCTGTGTTTATATAAAAGATTTAGTTTATTGATTCTGATTCAAATGCAGAAGTTACTACAGAGTAGTTTAAAATATATATATTTACTTAATGAAATCTTTTGCAGTCTTGAAATATACAGAATTGAGACAGATTATTATTCAGTAGATAGAAATTTATACAGTATTCATTATATATTGAGAATTTCAGATATTCTACACTGTAGTTATATAACTAAAAATTCAAATTTTTGAATAGTATATTGATTTTAATAATATTATCTCAGTTCTACTTATCTACTTCTAAAAATTTGTAATTGAATTTAGATAGATAAATTACTAATACAGTATTCTTCTAACAAATCTTATTTAGTCAGTTTAATATCTTAATTTAAAGTGTAAAATCAAAAAAAAAAGTATTAAATTATCAGAAAATTAATTCTAATATATACTAATTATTCAGATAGTAGCTTATTCAGAGTTGAAATTTTACTAATACATTACTATCTAATCTGCTGTAAATATATCATATTTGATTCAATAGCAAGTCTATTATTTAATCATCAATATTCAACTTAATATTTATTTTTAACTTTTATATAAAATATAACACTAGATCTTCTATATACTTGTCAAGAATTGAAAGTTTCTCTCTCAGAAGCTTCTCATAAAATACAGATGTAGAGAAAATAATAAATATAGATATATTTATTTCAGTAAGCTGTTATTGTAGCTTAGTTATCTACAGCATTTACTGCTGAAGAATACTTTATAAATCTAGATTATTATTTATTATATTCAAATACAGCAGATGTTTGTAGATCTGTTGATAATTTATTTTAATATCTAAAGATATATGATTCTAAAGAACAGAATATTTATAGATACTCAGATTCTTATAAATACTATTCACAGTGTTATAATACTAAGTTTATCAAACTTCTTTATAAATACTATTCACAGTGTTATAATTTAGATACTCAGATCTCTTCATAAAACAGTTGATTGTATCACAGATATTTAGATACAACAGTCTATTTTTTTAATAATAAAAGCATTCAGATTCAACAAGAAACTTATATAATAATTAAATACTTAGATTTTTTTAATATAATCAATATATTTGAGTATAGAAACTGATAATAAGACACTTGAGTCTTAAATATAATTAATATACTTAGATATAGAAACTAATAACTAGATACTTGAGTCTTAAATATAGATGAATTGATTTGTAATATAATAGATGTGCCACTGATTAAGCAGAAGTTATCAATATTATAAATTAAATCATTTATATCATCTATACAGTTTGTATAATTCATTTCAATAACACTATTAACAGATTTAACACTATTCTGATAATAATTTATGAATTAATTAAAAAAAAAGAGAAAGAAGATCAGAAGAAGAGATTATATAAAAAAGTTCTTATAGATAAAAGAATCAGAACAGAAGAAATATCAGAGATTGCACTTTGAAAAAGTATGAAATAAAAGAATTATTAGAGTATTAAGATGTATGCAATTGTGAGATGAAATTATAAGAAGATATGAGAGAACTTTATGAGTATATATGAGCACATAAGTGTGTGATAGAAGGTTGATTGCATAAGTTAACTATCAATGAGTGCTAATCTATCACAGTTATGATAATATATAAGTATGAGATATAAAATACAGAGTTTGAGCAGTTCAAAGCTAATATATTAACTTAGAAAATTGATTTTAACAGTATCATCTCAGTTCTAATCATCTATTTTATATATTTTACTGTTAAAATTAGACAGATAGTTTATTAGTAGTATATTTCTCTGACAATTTCTATTCAATTATTATATTATATATACTTGAAGTATAGAGTTCAAAAATAGAATATTTAGTTGATAAAAGACTTCTTTAGAGATGTATATTTTATATATATATAACTTAATTCAAGATTGAAACTTGACTAATATATTTTCTTCTAGTCAACTGTGAATATAATAAGTTTATAAAAATAGAGAGTTTATTACAGATTTATTTTCTTTAAACTTAATTTTTATTTTTTATTTGCAGATCAGATAGATTAAAAGTTTTTCTGTAAATTTATCTAGAAAAAAGAGATATTCTCTTCTTTTATATATAAGAAGTATTGATATTTGTATGATTTTTGATGTATTTATATTCAGATTATTTAATTATTACTGAAGCTTTATTATCTGTAGAAATTGTTACTGAAGAAAATTATAAAATTCAATATTATTTTCTATAAGATTCTGATTTTCATTCACAGAGAGATATTTATAAAAGTATTTATAGTTTATTTTATTTTTATATAAAATTATAATTTTTGATTCTAATAACTTGAAGATCAGAAGATTCAATTTTTATTCTTTTAAAAAAGAATATTTTATAGATATTCTAATCTCTTTATAGATATACAGTTGTGAATTTTTTAAATACTCAGATTTCTTTACAGTACTATTACAGTAATATAGTTTTATAGAATTTAAGTAATTTATTTTTAAACTTAACTTAAGTATCTAAATACCATTATAGACACAGAGTATTCAAATCAACACAGAAAAATCAATTTATAATATAATAGATATATTACTGATTGAGTAGATATTATTAATATTGTAAATTAAATTATTTATATTATCTGCACAGTTCATACAATTTGTTTCAACAGCACTATCAATAAATTTGACACTATTTTGATAACAGTTTATAAATTAATTAAGAAAAGAAGAAGAAAGAAGATCAGAAGAAGAGATTATATAAAAAAGTTCTTATAGAAAAAAAATTAGAACAGAAGAATATCAGAGATTACACTGCAGTAAAATATAAAGTGAAAGAATAATAGAAATTATATAAATAAATTATTAAAGACTATACAAATGCAGAGTGGGATTGTGAGAAAAGAGATGTTTTATAGATATACAAAAGTATATAAAAGAATGAGTGGGTAATAGAGAGTTGATTGTGTAAGTTAACTACTAACAGATACTAACTCATCACAATTTGAGCAGTATCTGAATATATATAAACTTATTGAATCTCTTTGTATTATAGAATCTCTGATATATATTATAATCAAAATATTTATTAATATTTATTGCAGATAAGATTGATTATCTGTGAGATTGTTTACAGAGTCTTCTAATATAATAAGAAAATTCTCTGCTTGATTATTTATATCATTAATCTGCAGTATATTTATTCACAGTACTCTTATCTAAAAAGATAAATTGATCAGATTGATACTGAGTAACTTGAATATATCATTCAGCTCAAAGTTCTTCATTATATTAAGTGATTATAAATTCAATCTATATCAAATAGAATTGATAGATTAGCAGATTCTATAAGTAATAATTGCAATATTAATCATCTTCTTTTATATCAAATTCAGTTTCTTCAACAATCTAGATATCAATCAAAAATGAATATCAATATCAAATTCATTCTTCATAAAGTAAATAGTCTTATTGTAATATATAGTTGAATATATTTCAAAAAAGTTCTTCAAATCTGACAAGATATCTGATGTGATCTTTGACTTTATACTTTATATTGATTGAGAACTTCTAGCAGTTTCAAAGCAGTGAATATTTTGTTGAATTTGATATACAGTGATTAGATAATACTCAATGATCTGTGCAATCTGAGCAGATATATAATCATTATTTAAAAGATGTACAATCTCATTGATGGTAAATTTGCTGAGCTGAAAGAGCATATTAGCAGATTTGATGATAAAGATGTGTATTTGATGATCCAGGTGTGTATTTGATGATAAAGATGATATTTGAATGATTCTAGAGATATGTGGATATTTTGGTTATTTTTGTGGTGTTTTACTACTACTTTTCAGGGGGTGGCAGAAAATTCTGTTTTCACAAGCTTTACATCCGCCACAATACAAGGCCACTCTAGTTAAAGCTAAGTATACAGGTTACATGCCATCACCAAGATAAATGATCAGTGATCGCAAACATCACTGGTGTTCCTCTTAACTCATATCCCTCAAGGTTGTGTCTGTAAAGAACATAATAATAGTTCCAGCTTTGTTTGACCTTTTTTCACCTCTCCTCAACCCTCTTTCAGAGAGGGAGTCAAATGATGCTTGCCCCTTCCCCTGCATTCCTATGGTAATATGGGATCCGCAGCTGTCAGTCTTAGCCATGCTCAACGCGTCGGTGGGCCAATTCATATCTGTGTCTGCTGCTTCTGAGCCTGCATCTGAGCCTGGTTGCCAACATTCGCAATTGTCTTCTCATCCCCTCTCGAATCTACGTCGTTGCTCTCATCAGCGTTCACATACCCCTCCACCCGGGCCCATTTCTAGCCAGCTAGGCTCTGCCACTCCAACTCCACCACGTCCAGTTTGTCAACCTCCCCTTCGCCCTCGCCCTCGCCCTTCCACCCTTCCTCTTTCCATTCTTCGCAAGTTGTTCCACATACCGACCCTGTTCCTCAGCCAGCCTCCTACCCCTCCTCCTCGTCGTCCTCCGCGCCCACCGTGAATCCTTCGCTCGTACACGATTCACAGAATGATCCGCCACCCGCTCAAACATCAGGGCCTCCAATCTCAGCTGTGTCGATGACTTCGCTTCCCAAACCCTGCGGCCTCCCAGATCGCGATCGGTCTGCCGACCGTCAGCATCCTCTCCAAAATAGCCTTGGCTTCAACCAGGCTGGCATTCCCTTATCCAACACGCTTTCTGGCTTGAATAATGACCATCCATCCGGCCATTCGTCTCCTAGATTGCACCCAACTTACCGTTCACTGCACTCCTTGGGTCCCTCTGAAATAGCCACCCCGAGTCGCATCCAGGTCCACGGCTTGTCCCATATTCGCAGCTTTGCCAACGAGGAGATCCTCGCCTCATCCAGACGCTTCCAGGCTCAAGACCAAGGCAACGGCGGCCGTTGCCGGCAGGATGTCGGCCGCCAGTATGAGATCAGCTCGATGCCAGTCACAGATATCATCGAAATGGTTGCTGGCCTGTTGACCAAGATAACCACAACCAATGATCAGCAACATCAACATAACCATCGGAGCATTCCGCCAGTTGACAACACACGAGGCATCAGTGCTCAGACCACCAGCGTGCTCGCTTTCCATGGAAAAAACGTCCCAAGCATTACTATTCTGAGTTATCTGAGCCGCATACACAAGTACTGCCCAACCACCTATGAAGTTTTCCTAAGCCTGCTAGTCTACTTCGACCGCATGACCGAGATGGCAAATACAGGTTTTATCCACAGCTTGCAACAAAGGTCCGATCAATACAGGAGCGGTGTGGGCCCACATTCTTCTTCCTCACCCTCCTTCCCGTCTACGGTTAATTCAAACCGTCCCACTACACGCGATTCTATCGCCACGCCCCCCTCCTCCATTCAGATGCGGGCGCGAGACACCGATCCACCCTCCCCATCCCCACCTAACGAAATATATTCACAGTCCATCGTGCCTTCTAGCACTGTCCTGGAAACATGCGAAGACGACATACTCAGTCTCCCTCATTACTTTGTGGTCGACAGTTTCAACATCCACCGCCTAGTTATCGCAGGTGTGACTTGTGCGAGCAAGTTTTTCTCTGATGTCTTCTACACCAACTCTAGATACGCCAAGGTAGACCCAGGTTCCCGCCTTTTTGTGACTCGATTCGGTTTCAGTTGTAATTGACAAATTTATCTAGGTTGGTGGCCTCCCTCTCCTCGAGCTTAACCACCTTGAACTTCAATTCCTCCTCCTAAATGACTTCCGTCTTGCCGTTCCCGTTGAAGAGCTGGAAGCCTATGGCACAATGCTTGTTGAGTTCTATGCGAGAGAAGTGGTAGCGCAACAGCAGCAGCAACTGCCTCAGCAGCCACAGAGCCCTGGCGAGAGTCAAGACTCCTTCAGCATGACAGGCCGCCGAGCGAAGGAGGGCCCTCATATTCAACGGTGTCCTATCCGAGGGGAATTTCTCGTGCAAGGAAATGTTTCGCTAACCCCGACCCCTCCCTAACGATTTTATTGATCCGGATTGTCCTCTTCATTATGAGATGTAGCATTGTCAAAGGAGTAGACAATGGGACCCTATTTACCACCAGGGATCAAAGAAATATAGAGTTTTGATTTTTTAATTTTTTCGCTCACTCGCTCTTTTCTGTTTGTGTGCTGGTGTTGATTCAATTGAGACGAAAGATACCACGAGACTAGGTGATCGACAGAATCATTGTTGTTTTCTCTCCACGCTGGCTTTTCTAATCCTTTTTTTTTTTTAAATAAAAACCAAATCTATAATTATTGTGGAAAAAAGAACCACAGGAATAAAATTTATTTCACAATTGTGACAGGTTAGCACCTGTTAGTAGTCAACTTACACAATCAACTCTCTACCACTTGCTCACTCATATGCTCACATGCATTTACAAACACCTCTCTGTTCACAATTTCACTCTGTGATTGTGTAGTCTTGACTCTTTAATAAAAGTATCTATATTCGAAATAGCTAGATGATGATAGAAGGGTATAGAATATATCAGAATTAATTATAATTCATATAATATAGTAACAATATTGTCAATATAATACTTGCTAATTGTGATGGGTTAACTGTTGGCTCTAGGCTGCCTATCACAGACTAGCGCACCGCTGCCTGCATGCTAATACAACCACTTAGACGTCCCACATTAACATCTATTAGCAGTTAGCTTACACAACCAACCCCTTATATACTCATATGCTCTTATATAATACTCCTCTTTTTGTGATTCTACTTTGTACTTATAAAGTCTCTAATAATTTCTCTATATAACTCTCAATATTTATTCACTCAGTATTTTGTAGTAATTTCAGCTTATTATTCTTCCATGATGTACATCACTCTCTATTATCAAGAATAGTGTATGCACTAATAATTATTTTGTATAAGAAGAGCTGGCAAGCTTAGAAGCTTGCAAAAGCTCAAGCAATCTTTGAATCACATTTAATAGTATATCTAAATCAAAGAAAGTATACACTTCTGAAGATGTGATAATTTCATCTACAATATAAATTATAGTTATCATATCAGTGTGATCATTTCTACACTCTATTGTATAAATAAGTGATGAATTTGAAATATTTCTGATTATAATATTGATAGTAGATAACTCATTATTATTGTAACAGATTAGCATTTATTGATAGTTAACTTACACAATCAACTCTCTATTATATATTTATATACTCATATATACTTATGAAGTTCTCTTATATCTTTTTATAATTTCATTTTATAATTATATATATCTTAATACTCTAATAATTCTTTTATTCTATGCTTTTTTAGAGTACAATTTTTAATATTTCTTTTTAATTTTTTTATTTATAAAAATCCTCTCATATAACTTCTTCTTCTAATCTTCTTTCTCTTTCTTTTCTTAATTGATTTATAAACTGTTATCAGAATAGTGTTAAATTTGTTGATAGTATTATTGAAATAGATTATATAAACTGTATAGACAGTATAAATAATTTAATTCATAACATCAGTAACTTCTATTTAATCAGTGATATATTTATTGTATTATAAATAGACTGACTGCTGAAACTATAAATTTTATATTTGATTTAATTTGATTTGATTTCAGTTCATTTCTTGATATGATTTTAGTGAGATTAGAATCAGAATGAGAGTGTAAAGTGATTAGAATTATCAAAATATGAATGAAATAGAATTAAAAAATCTTGATATTTTATATAAAGTGACTGACTATTAAAAATAAAAATATGATCTAAGACTGATTATAATTTTGACTCAAATTTGATTTCATTCTGATGATTATATAATACATCAATCTGATAATATAATTGATGAAGATATTATCTCTATCTTATTTAATACTGCTACTAATCTATCTGCTACTGCTAATCTATCTATTACTGCTAATCTATTACTGCTGTCAATCTATCTATCACTGCTAATCTATTACTGTCAATCTATCTACTGCTGTTAATCTATCTATCACTGTTAATCTATCACTGCTAATCTATCACTGCTAATCTATTGCTGTTAATCTACCACTGTCAATCTATCTACCACTGTCAATCTATCTATCACTGCTAATCTATTGCTGCTAATCTATCACTGTCAATCTATCTACCACTGTCAATCTATCTATCACTGCTAATCTATCACTGCTAATCTATCACTGCTAATCTATTGCTGCTAATCTATTACTGTCAATCTATCTACTGCTGTCAATCTATCTACCACTATCAATCTATCTATCACTGTCAATCTATATAGAATAAATTATAGTCTCATTTGATTCTATTTTATAAAATAAGATTAAATGAAATCAGAATCATTAATTTATTAGTAAAATATAATCTGAGACTAGATTTATAATATAAACAGTGTAAAATAATTAATTTACTAAACACTATATGAGATCAGAACTAAGATATCTAATAATAAAACTGAGAAAAAATTTAATTTCAGTTCTATACATAATTATACAGTCAGTCTAATTATAAATTAATTTCTCTATATTTAAAATCTGAATGTCTAGTTATTAGTTTCTATACTCAAATGTATTAATTATATTTAAAACTCAAGTGTTTTATTATCAGTTTCTATATCTAAATATATTAATTATATTAAAAGATCTGAGTATTTAATTATTATATAAGTTTCTTATTGAGTTTGAGTGCTTTTATTATTAGATATATAAATCATTATATCTAAGCATCTGTGATATAATTGACTATTTTATAAAGAGACTCAAATATCTACAAACTATAACACTGTGAATAGTATTTATAAAGAAGTTTAATAAGCTTAGTATTATAATACTATAAATAGTATTTACAAAAGTCTGAGTATCTACAAATATTTCATCTCTGAAAATTATATATCTTTAGATATTAAAATAAGTTATCAATAAATCTACAAATATTTACTATATTCAAACACAGCAGATGATAATCTAAATTTACAAAGTATTCTTCAATAGTAAATACTGCAGATGACTGAGCTACAATAATAATTTACTGAAATAAATATATCTATATTTATTATTTTTTCTATATCTGTATTTTATAAAAAGTTTTTAAGAGAGAAACTTTCAATCTTCAATAAATATACAGAAGATCTAGTATTATATTTTATATAAAAATTAAAAGTAAATATTAAGTTGAATATCAATAATTAAGTAATAAATTTACTATCAAATCAAGTATAGTATATTCACAGTAAATTAGATAGTAATATATTAGTAAAATTTCAATTCTGAATAAATTATTATTTAAATAATTAGTATATATTAGAGCTAGTCTTCTGACAATTTAATACTCTTTTTTTAATTCTATATTTTAAATCAAAATATTAGATTGATTAAATAAAATTTATTAGAAGAATACTGTATTAGCAATCTATTTATCTGAATTCAATTATAAACTCTTAGAAGTAGATAGATAGAACTGAAACAATATTATTAAAATTAATATACTGTTCAAAAATTTAAACTTTCAGTTGTATAATCAAAGTATAGAGTATTTAAAATTCTTAATATACAGTAAATACTGCACAGATTTCTATCTATTTAATAATAATCTATTACAATTCTGTATATTTTAAAATTACAAAGAATTTCACTGAGTTAATATATATATTTCAAATCACTCTGCAGCAACTCTTACATCTGAATTAGAATTAATAAACAGAATCTTTTATATAAATACTAAATATTTAAAAGTTTTCAATATTTCAGATAAAAATATTGCTGACTGAATTATTAAAAAAATCTATATATACTGTAATAAATCAGAGTACTTTGTAAATCAGTATCTGAATACAGTTTTTTCAAATTAATTTTTTATATATATGAATACTGTGTTATCTACAGATAGATAAGAACAGAGAAAAAAAGAGCTTTCACTCTAAAATATAAATAAAAACTCAAGAAGCAATAAATCAGCTGAAGATTTAAATAGAAAATATAAATGAATACAATTATAATCTCTGTTATTATAAATAGCCTAGTTAATATATACACAATAGTAGATAGTAATTTTCTTTATTATACTCTTATAAACATTCAGCTAATAGAGAAGTATAAACTTCAGTATATCTTTTTCTCTAAACTGTATAAACTGAGTGAATTTGATGACTCTAGAGAATTTATCTTCTATAATATAGTAAGATTCAATATCAATATAGAAGAATATAAGAAGAAGAGTGTTTTTGTATATGAAGTATAGAATTTCAAGTATAATTTAATATTCAATCTATTATAGTTTACAGAGTTTGAAATCTTATTAGATGTATATAATTATTGTTTTATTTTCTTAGAAAATAATTATATCTATAAAAAAAATATTAATAGAACTGCTGATCTCACTCAGATATCAGTAAAAGCATTCAAATTATTAATTTATTAAATATATAAAAAGAAAAATATTCAGATATTTGCTGCTAGTATGATAGATATTAAAAAAGTATTAAAAAAATTAGAGCTCAGGAATTTTAAAAAACTCTGTAAAAAACTCTCTGAAATATATAAAAACTTCACAAATATATTTAATATAAATTATTTCATAAAACTTCTATCTTATTAAAAGTACAGTATAGATAAAATAATTAAACCCATTGTTAAAACCCCCCCCGAATCTGCAATCACTTTGAGATTCTATCAAGAAAGAGATAGCAAAACCGGCCCTTATCTGCCCCCCGATTGACTCAATGAACTACCGAATATGTAGTGCTATCTTCCTGAGTGATACTGTTCTCTA